GCTAGGAGTGTGGCTTAGGTGGAAGAGCACCTGCTTGGCAAGCATAGGGCCCTGAGTTCAAGTCTCAGTAACACCAAAAAAAAAATGTAGAGGAAGAAGGCTATAATCCTAGCTACTTGGGAGGCTGAAGCAGGAGGATTACTTAAGCCCAATAGACGCCAGCCTAGGTGACATAGCAACCATCATCTGTTCCTTAAAAATAGTAATAAAAAAATGTGAACAATGTTGTGTGCATAAAAATGTTCATCTTGGAACATTTTGTAATATTTAAAAGTTGAGAAAAATCCAACAATAGCTGGAGTAAGTTAATGTGCATACATTTTATAGTATATTACACAGCCATTAACAACTGCACTTATGAATGTACTGTAATACAAATAAATTTTATAATTGTAAAAACTTTTACTTCAACATTTTGATGCTGGATGTGGTGTGCAGCCATCCCCATTGTACATTTCTAGAACTTTTTTTTATCTTCCCAAATGACAGAAGTTCTGTAGCCATTAAAGAATAACTAATAGCCCTTATTTTAGGGAGTTATTTAATTTTAAAACTAACTGTCGTTTGTATTATGGAAGTCAAAGATAGGGAGAGGAATAAAGTAAAACAATGAAGGAAAATAGAAAGATTAGTTAACTTGAAGTAAAGTGAAACAGAAGAAGTAATTTTCATTGTTGAAAATATAAACTGCCCATCAGAGTCCTTGCTGTGCCTTCAGTGTGGTTTGGGGTGTGCAGGCCTGTGTCTACAGTGTTTGGAATCAACTTTCCTGCTGCCTGAAGTGCTGAGCGGCAGTGACCACTGTGCATCAGGAAGTCCCATCTACAGAGACATGCAGGACACTGCAGCTTCCCTCAGCAGCTCTCCTTCTTTTACTCAGCTTCTCTCTGCTCCTCTGTGATCACTGTGCTGCCATCCCACCAGCCCCCACCCCTGAGGCTCTCTTGCTTATTGTTCCCCAATTCCTCTCTGCAATCTACTGATCAGAGCAGTTGAATAAACTTTTATTGAGTACCTTCTGCATACCAGGCACTGTAATCTGTGCTCAAATACAAAGATACAGAGCCCAAAGCCTACTATTGAGACAGATTATAAAACTGACAAAGCTCATATGGTGGGGTGAGTGTAAAGATAGACATGCACAGAATCTGGAACCTCACCTAGTTGAGGGTATTGGGGGAGAGGGCATCTGAGCTACACCTTGAACAGGGAGGAGTTTCTTGTGTGATAAAAGTAGGATAGACAGTCTAGACAGAGGACATAGCCACATGTCCCAGAGGCAATGACTCCACCAACTAACACATATGTATGTGCGTCTTGTTCTCAAAAATAATCTCATTGCATATTTGTGGTGGCAGAGGATCTGAGTCTTCCCTGATTAGACCCACAGAGCCTACACAGTGCCTGCTGTACAGAAGACACTCAGCACATGCTTGTTGAACTGATTTGAAATAGATGCTGTTGTTTACCATTTATGAGCCAACTCTCAGTAGACTTCATTGTCAGGACATCTACATAGAGCTGGCAAGGGACCCAGAGTTCCTTGCTTCCCTACTCCACCCTCTTTTTTTTTTTTTTAATGTCTTCCATCTTTCCACTAAGTTCTTGGAGAGTCTTGAACATACCCCAACTTGATTTAACCAAGTAAAAGTACTTAACGTTCTGTGTTACTAAGTGTCACTGGAGATACTTTCTCTGACCTCTTACAGTCTGATGTAATGTAGTAAAGCTAGAGCTTGGCCTGGATTCTAAAATGTCATTTGATCTCATGATGCTGGGATAGCTTAGGGGACAAGCTTAAAACTGATTCAACAATGGACACCATTACAGAGATAGTGCAGATGAGGTCCTGTGCAGGGTAATTATAGCTGACATTTGTTGATTGCTTCCCATTGTGCTAAGTCTGGGTGCTTATTTTATCGACCCATTTAATCTCAACAAAACTGAGTGTTACTGTTATCATCCTACTTTTTACAGATGAGACTTGTAGGGTACAATGACATTAATAAATTGCCCAAAGCCATATACCTACTAAAAGTAGAGCTGGGATTTGAGCCTGTGTGCATACAATACCACAGCTAAACTTTCACTTCCTTTACCATAAAATTTTCTCATCCCGTAGTCACCAAAAAAGAATGCCAGAGGGCCTGCATCTCATGGTGCAGCATTTGTACATATGACAGTGTACTGATGGGGTAGGGACAGGGAGTGTAAACCCTATGAATTTCCATATGGATCTGACAGGATAAAGAGTCCTTCGTCTAGTTAAGTCTTTGAGTCAATTAGACCCTTCTAACTTCTTTCTAGCAGTGCCCACCATTATTTAAAGCTGATGTAATGCTTTAAAGAACCTGAGCTACCCATTTTAGGAGAAATCATGTATTTGTCACCCTTTATCTGTCCTCCTAATCATAGTGGCTTGCCTAGGCAGGCAAGGCCCTCTCAGAGATTGTCCTTGAGATGTGCATTCTCTGACGCAAGAGTACAGTGGGCGACAGCATCATAACCAGCAGCACTGCTCAGTCAGGAGAGAGATGTCATGGGCCTACTTCATCTGAGAACAAGGCCAAGGGCATTTGTTCATATTCTCACTCCTTCATTCAACCATTTGCTCATTTGTCCACACTTACTGAATACCTACTGGAAGCCAGGCAGAATTCTAGGTACTGGGGATACTGTGATGACCAAGTCACAACCCTGGCCCTCCTAGAGCTTATATTCTGTCGGGGTGCAGACAAACAACCAATTTGGGGGAAAAAAAAAAACCAAAGCAGTAGGACTGAGAGTAATGAGTGTAGAGAAGCAAGTGTATCTAATTAGGTGGCATTTAAACAAGGATTTGTGTAAAGTGGGGGAAAAAGGCTTTTTATTTTATTTTGTTTTGTATTTTCATTCATCTGCTCCATCATTCATTCAACAGACAATACTTGAGCCCATCTGTACCAGCACTGTGCTTGCTGGCTGTTGCAGGGTGGATGGTGGTGGATGGTGGTGAAGACTGGAAACTGCAAGGGGTGGTTAACCCATACGCACTGGGGGAAGTAAGGGTCATTCACACAGGAGTGCATGCAAGCAGAATGAGAAGCTAGTAAGCATAATTGAGAGTAGTGGGAGGGTGTTCTTCCTCTTGTTCTTAAAAAAATCTGAGACAATTATGTAAGAAACTTCCTTAAAAGTTTTTAAGATAGAACATTTTATTAGAACAAACTGATGATCAGATTCCAACAAATAAGGTTTTTAATGTTCTTCTCAGAATATAATATTTTTCACTAATGTGAAAATGAGTATTTCTGACATTCATAAGTACTTATAGACTCATCTTATATAGAAAAACTTATTACTATTCTCACTACATGGGGTTTGACTCACAAGGAGACTACCATGGAAGAAAATCTATCATAACATTTTATAGCCAGAATCACTAGAGTGTAATCCTCACAACCAACATCTGTACAGCACACACAGTTCAAGGTAGTCCTATACTTACCACAATTCTACAAAGTAGATAGTGGGTAGTTTGATTATGATCACTAGTAATATTTACAGTGGTCATGGTATTACCTACCAATCCCCATTTTACAGTTGAGGATACTGACACTTAAGGATGCAACTTATTTGCAAGGAATCTCTAAACTCAAATACCCAAAGAGAAAAAGTAATTTTAAATTCTGATATTGTGGTCTAATTACATATGATGTTCAAGAATAAAAAAGACTGTAATAGACGTTTCTCAAAAGAAGACATGCAAATGACCAACAGGTATGTGAAAAAAGTGTTCAGCATCACTAATCATCAGAGAAATGCAAATCAGAACCACGAGGTGTCACCTCACCCCACTTAGAATGCTATTATCAAAAAGACAAGAGATAATAAGTGCTGGCAAGGATGTGGAGAAAGGGAACCCTTGCGCACTGTTGGTGGGAATATAAAGTAGTACAGTCGTTATGGAAAACAGTATAGAAGTTCCTCAAAAAATTAGAAGTAGAGCTACCTTATGATCCAGCTGTACCACTGTTGGTACAGCACTTCCAAAGGAAAAGAAGTCAGTGTTTCAAAGAGCTAGCTGGACTGCCGTGTTTTTGCAGCACTACTCACAATGGCAAAGAAACGGAATCAGTGTGAATGTCCATTGACACTATTTTGCTGTAAAAGTGATGAAATTTGCCAACGTGGAGGGCATGATGTTAAGTGAAGTAAGCCAGATACAGAAAGAAGTACCACAATGTCTCACTTATGCAGACTCTAAATAAGTTGATTTTGTAGAAGCAGTAATAGAACAGTAGTCCCCAGATACTGGGGAGGGGTCAGGGCAGGGAAGAGAAGGCAGAAGTTGGCCAATGGGTACAAAGTTAAAAAAGAAAAAAAAAGTTCTGGTGTTCTGTTGCACAGTAGAATGACTATAGTTAGCAGTATGGTATTATGTATCTCAAAATAGCTAGAAGGGAGGATTTTGAATGTTCCAACAAAGAAATGATGAATGTCTGAGGAGATGGATATGCTAGCTACCCTGATTTGATCATTATACAACATGTACTTGTATCAAAACATCACATTGTACCTCATAAACATGTACAATTATTATGTGTCAAGAAAGAAGAAAAAAATCTAATTGAGCATTTTTAAACTCCATTTACTTCTCATCTATTGTTGTCAGAGTGGAAGGGAGGCAGCAGTTAAAAAAATATGGTTAATATTGCCAAATAATTCAGTATTTTCCATTTTCTCATAATTACGTCAATTAATTCTCTTTTTCATTTCCCTTTGGTCTCTATGGTAAGATTGATTTGGGGGACATTAAATTGGGGAGAGGATGCTTAAATGGTAGGATTTTTATTCTTGGAGCCAGTTTTTCTCTTCTGGGATGTATTCATTTGTTCTTTCAACAAACGTTCATCATATGCCAGGAACTGCATTGAATCCTAATTCTTTTGTGTTCCCATTTAACTAGTGAGTGAGGTCGTTATTTTGTGACTAATGCCCAGCTGCATCTGTTCTCTCAGGTGGGGTGACAGCTCTCTGTTGGGATCCAGTCCAACAGGTGTTGTTCTCGGGCAGTTCCGATCACTCTGTCATCATGTGGGACATTGGTGGGAGAAAAGGAACAGCCATCGAGCTCCAAGGTCACAAGTAAGTGCTTTTATGATCTCTGAGAAATGATTCCAGCTGAAAGGTGAAACAAAGGAGTCACATCCAATCTTATGGCAGGACCTTCGCTCAGGAAGGAATATGGCAGGAACACAAGTAACAGCCACCTTGATTTATGTCTGTACAAAAGTATATTTATATATTTCAATCCCATTTGTTCTGCAGAAGATCTGAGCATGGTTACAAAAGCCATAAAATAAAATAGTGGTAAAAAATAAATCTGAGGTAAAAATTAGAGCCAGGGAGACTATAAGATTAAATATTTGAGAGTTAGAGAAAAAAGAACTTAAAAATAAAAGCCAGAAAGGCCTACAAAATTTCTATAATTGAGTTCAAATGTGGCTTCTTGCTTCCTGGCAACTTGAGGAAGAGGGGAGAGATAATTTCCTTACACAGTACATTTTGTACTTCACCAAATACTTATTGAGAACGCGCCTTGATTCTTATCAGGTTCTTCTTCCAAAAGGGGTGGACTGCAGGGGGCTGAGGGGAGCAGAGAAAGGTTGGTGTCTCTCTGGAGCAGTTCCAAACTTTGCTTTGCATGAAGAATCTCTGAGGAATTGATTAAAAGTAGATTCCAGGCTAAGATTCTGGTTGCTGGTCTGGAGCTGGGGGAAACCTGTGTTGCCACCCAGGCAACTCTCTGTTGGTGACCCTTAGACCACTCAGAGCCACAGCACCATCTGCTGCTGTCTACTGCTGCCATCCCTGGGAGCAGGACCCCTTCTTTTTTGTAGAAAAAAAAAAAAATGTTAGATCTGCTTTGTAACTCCAGAGCTAATCTGAACTGTGTTTTACTTGTAAAGTTTCAAAAAGATACTTACAAAGGACCCTAAACGACCAGTAACACGTCAGTAGTGCCTCCATGAATTAACTGATTTTCAGTAGCATTACTAGCTTTTCCTGTAATTCTGCCTAGAAATACTAGTTTCTAAAAATTCTCTTTATTGTTTAAGTAACAGTTTGAGATTATTGGATAACACTGATTGATTTTTGGAGGACCCATGCATAATTACTTTAGATTTAGAGCTTAATGGTAAAGAAGCAACTCTTAAGCTGTTTTTTCTCTCTGTAGAGAACACACAGTTATCTGGGGCCTCTTCTGGCATGGAGGGGCTACACAGTCCTGGTCAACTCATTAGAGAAATTGTTCCCTTATGTTTATCTTCATAACACGTGAACAGCATCAGGTCATGTAGCAGGAGTTCACATCATCCATGTAAAAGTAGTGAAAAAAGAGAAGCCAAAACACAGTTCTGTTTAATAACACTCAGTTATTTTCTAATCTGCCAGGTAATTCCTGCCAACTCAGCCTCCCTCACAGAAATCAAATGCAGGTTTTGAATGGAGACCAGGAACGTTTGTTGGCTAGTTTTATTTTTATACAGTGGTTAATCAGGACTGCAGGCACTCTTGCATGATTTCACCTGTAAGATGATAACTACAGTGGTGCTTAGCACCAGCATTACTGTATGCATAAGGCCCTGCCCTTGCAGTTCTAGGAAACATACATTTTCTTAGAAAGGAGAAGTTAGAAAGTTTGGGCAAGAAAATGAAACCTAAACAGATATGTCTTCCAGTTTCTAAGGTGAATAGACATGTCCTGTTAAAAATGGAAAAGACCCTACTTGGGGTTCATGCTGATAGGATCACAGCCTTAGACCTGCCATGGATAATCAGGCAGACTGCTGGGGTAGGAACCACCAAGAAGAGCTGGCTTCAAACAGAAGCCTGGTGGCAGGCCTTTGCCTGGGGCCTTATTCAGTTCAAGCTTTGCAACAAATAAAGTGAGGTTATCTTCTCAGCAGGTCTTGCTGAGGAAGAGTTGCCCTGGTGAAGCCAGGTGAGAGAAGTAAACTTTGCAGACCAGTCAGTCACAGTTAGAGGGGAGTCTTACTGCTGGGGTAAAATGGAGGGGCTGCTCAGGGCTGCGGGAATGGGATTCACAGTGAGGGTATAAAGACGGGGCAGTGAGCAGCAGGTAGGAAAGGAAACCTGTGATCCCTTCCACAACAGCTATTCCCTTACCCTGAAAATGGGCCACTACAGTGACACTTGGTGATTCTTGTTTGAAGGGTGCCTAAGATTTTGGCAAAGAGCTTTCAAAAAACTATAGGTACCTCACTTTAATCTTACAATCACCCCGTGAGAGATCCAATACTATTTTTCACATGAGGACTTTGAGGTTCCATCCTCAAACCCCAGCTGGTACTGTAGGTCTCCCTAGCCTTAGTTCATTCAGTCCAGGAGCCCAGCGCTGTACATGATGCTACAACTGCCAGAGTGAACACTGACCAACACATCCACATCACGACTTGTATAGGTTTGTACCTAAGAGCAGTAGCCTACACCACATAGCCTAGGTATATAAACTGAGACTATGCCTTACAGGTTTGCATAAGTATACTACAGTGTTCACACAATGACAAAATCATCTAACACGTGACTCTCACACATATCTCTATCATTAAGCAAGGACTGTAGTTTGACTTGATGTGTAAAAATCCCATTAAACCAGAGAAAGCCTTAACACTAAAGAAAGTGACAACAGTGAAAATGTTTTCAAGTCCAAGGGAGGAAAGGTAATATTTTAAATAATAAGCATTTTGATGTTTTTATTCCCAAATGGAATATGATTGCATGCATGCTGGTTTGTGGGAAGAAAGGAAAAGAAAAGGCTGTCTAGTTTCAGGTGCCAGTTGCTTTTTGGTTTTTTTTTTAATATCAACCACTCATTGTACAGCTGTTACAGACCTAGAACCTGGACATGTTTGTTCCATGTCCACCTCATCATATCTAATAAGAGCCCTTGTCTTTTTTAGATCTTTTTTTATTCTTACATAATACCTATCATTTTACGACCAACTTTATGACCATAATTTTTCTTTGTAGTAGTGTTTTCTTAGACCTAAGACTTTTTGGCAATTCAATATAACCTGATTTAAAGCACTGGTAAAGATCAGTGCTGTCCGTTGAGTTGGGACCCTCCACCAAGACTGAAATCAGCAGGTTGCATGAGGCTCAGTCACAGCCACCGCTCTTGGCATTCACAGCCTGTATATTTGCCTCCTCTTTCCAAATTTCAGTTCTTTGTTTTTCTCCTACTTCTCATACCATATGTAAAATTTTAGTTATGAATGTCCTTAAACCTTTTGGTAAAGAAATGGACTATTTGTAAATATATCTGCATTGGGAGGATTTGAGAAAGTAAATTGCATTTGGAGTCATGAAAGGGGTTTAATTCTAGCATTTGTCCTTCTGGGTTTGGAGGAGGGGGTGGTGCAGGGATCAGTATGTGTAAAAGCTTTCTCTCTCTGCAAAATTTTGGGACTTGGGAGCCTTTCACACTGTGGTACTAGGAGACATTAGAATAGAGATGTTTTATTTCTAACTATTTAGCTAAACACATAATAAGTTAAAAAATTAGACATTAGAGTTTTCATAGATGGCAGAATCTTGTCAAGGAACACAGAGCTTCATAGTGCTTTCCCTTAGTGGATAGCCCTCCGAGTCAGAACTGTATTTGAACTGGCCCTTCTGCTGACAGCTGAGGGAAGGCTCTTCACCTCTCTGAGGTTAATATTGGAAGTAAAAACTTTCAAAGGTTGTTTAAAAAATACAAATGTTATAATGCGTGTAAGATAATTAGCTAAGGAGCAAAGACCAAATAAATGACCATTGTTAAAATTATCCATGTTAACAGAAAGTGTAAGTAAAAGACCACACTTTTTTTTTGATGGCATTACAGGGGTTTGAACTTAGGGCCTCTAGGCAGGCACTCTACCTCTTGAGCCACATTCTGGCCCGTAAGGTCACACTTTAGATCACAGTTTCTCTCTGTAGCATGTCCTGTGGAAATATTGCCCCTATCCATAATTCATTTAACAGATATGTAGTGAGCTTAGCTGTGGGTCACATTATTCAAAAAATGAATAAGAAAATAGTCCCTGCCCTTACGGACCTGTGCTAGAAGTTGAAAAGTGGGTGAAGATGGAACCATTTGCGGTTTTACTGGAAAGGGAGGGCCTCAGCAGGGGCTTGAGAGGAGTCATTCTTGATTTGATCTCAGGAATGAAGAGATTCTTACAGTTCTCAGGATTAGCAAGTTTCCCAAAACAGAGCAGCATAAGCTAACATCCCAGACACAATCTACAAGAGGACAGAAGGGCAGCACTTAATCTGAACTTCCACCCTCACCAAATAACCTGCAGAACCTTGCTAATGCTCACCTTGGGTCCCTGATCTCTGGTACACATTGGCATGGAGTGAACCTGGGTGTCACTGTTCAAGAGGCCTCACGTGTGCATTGCTCATGACCCTTCTCTGGTCCTTGGATGTTTGGAAGACTTATGAATACGGAAGATGCATCTCTGCATGTATCTACTATCTCTGGTAGTAGATACAACTAATCAGATTTGCTCTAAATTACATACTTTCATCACAGAAATGAAAGATAGTATGCATTTAAGTGTTCTACCTCCACACACACCCCCACCCCCCGCCCACACACACTCGGGGAATGGTTGAGGGCTTCATTGACCTTTGGGCAGATGTCAGCCTGTATGTGAGTCTATTTCTGTAAGGAGGATAATGGCTTCTCTGCCTGTATTAGATATAGGATGTACATGGTGTGTGCCGTCACAGAAGGCCCCATTCTTTAAAGGGCCCCCACACTTGGTTTAATGTTCTGCCATTACCAGCTTGTGATTCTTAATAAGTTTTTAACAAGGGATGCTGTATTTTCATTTTGCACTGGTCTGTTCAAATTATATAGCCAAGCCTGACCAGACATATGTCAGGACTGGTAAGAAAGGAAATGAGGCCATCCGCTGAGTGTAGTATTTATAGGTGGCAGATCATGGTGCTGTGGAAAGTAGAATTTTTGTGCACTTGCAGTTCAGTACATGAAGCTTTCTAGTATAAATGCTACAGTGATGTCAGATGAAACATGAATGTAAGAGGGTACCTTTTCATTCTGTGAA